AACGGATGGACTATGACCCTAATGTCCTGATAACAAAATTGAAATGAACAGGGAGAAACCTAAACAACTGCTGTGTGAAAGTGAACAGATTAAACTGCATTTTAAACACGTCTTCAGAAATAAGAGAGACGAGAGAGATGACAAAGAAAGACCATGGATCTCTTCCCAGGTTCTCAATACAGTAACGGTCCTTTCCACCACTGCTCCTCTAATATTTGTCACATTACAAGAAGTCAAACAATCAACATCCATTCAAGCTTCATTTCTACACAAGGTTACAACAAAGATGGGGACAAAAGGGCTGGCCAAGCTCCTATAGAAATAATATGTTCTTTGAAATTTATCTTATAGAAATATTTATGTTTACTGTAGCCTTATTATTAGAGAAAAACTAGAAACAATCTAAATATTTATCAATGGGGGGGTTGAATAAAGAAACCATGGTATATTTGCACCATGGAATTCGATACCATTTTAAAAATATAAAAGTAGAGATGTATGTATGAATAGGGAGACAGCTCCCAAACACACTTACAAAATGAACAGTATGTAGAGTTCAATCTCTTTAAATATATATACGCATAGAAAAATAATTAGAAAACCATTTCTCAAACTTTATTTCTATATGTTTCTGTGTTGCTTGACATTTTTACAACAAACAATGCATCACTTTAAAAAAGAGGTTTTTAGAGTTTTAGAAAAGTCCTGGAATTCCATTGTCAGAAACTGAAAACTTATAGTAATGCCCTTTACCCACCAGATGTTCTTTGAATAAACTGTATGAGAGTCAGAGGAGGATCTGGTGGTAATGGAATCTGCACAGGAAAAAAATGGGTGAAGTGTCCCGCTGCACTTACACAGGAGCAGAAAAATGAGGAGAGAACACCTAAACCGGTTGTTTACGAAACTTTGACAGAGGAGAGACCAATAGTTAATAGAATAATAAGTACAAGGCCCATTCAGTCCCACAGAAGATAAGGAATATGCTTGTTTGAGAGCAAATATAAGCAACACGAACACAGCACTGGGAACTATAATGGACACGTATTTATGCCATTATAACAGGATATATTCTGGCATAAACTTGCTTGTTAGTAGCAGCATGAATGTGAATCTTCTCCAAAAGCCTTCCAAAGGAGTTCAAGAAGTTACCAACATCTTACAAGGAGATAAATTAGTATCCGTTTCAGATTCAAAGTAGAGATAAGTCTTTGAGTCTGATTTAGCAGGAATTATTTTTAATAATTAAAACATTGCCAAAGTAATAAATGGAACATGGAGAAAATATAAAAAAAACAACATGGAAAATATCTATACAATCATCACTCAGAGATAATCTCTATTAAAACGTGTATATTAATTACTTTTCTTTGTTTTCTACCTATATATAAATTCTATGAAAGTGAAATATGTTTTTTTATTATAGCATTTTTTCTTCATTTTGCAACCACTCATGAACATTTCTCTATGTCAATGTTTGTTTTATCTTATAAGCATGATTCTTAGCAGCTCCACTGTATCCCATTGTGAAGACATACTATAATTTACTTAACCAATCCTCCATCATGGGACATTTCAGTTGTTTCCAATTTTTTTATTATAAACAATACTTTAACAATAGACACTTTTTAAACTAAATATTTACACACATACTCAATTATTTTCTTGTGGTAAATTAACAGAAGTAGGCCCACTGCCAAATTTCCCTCTGGACAGGTTGCTCTAGCAGTGTACTAATGATTTCCTTTGACAATATTAGGTTTTAGACATTTTAAATCAAAGTAACTATTTTTAAATGAAAAATAAAACATTGTTATGATTACTGTTCTTTAAAATCATCTTTAAGGATCAATTTATCAGTTTGCTGACTCAGTCACTCCACAGCAAGTATTGAGAATATACCAAGTGCCAAGAATTAAGCTAAAAATTACTGGGGATACACAGATGAGGAAGGCACAGCTCTTGCCCTTGAAGATTTTATAGTTTACTGGGCAAACATAAATAATTCCAGAAGATGTAACGGATACCACAGGAAGGAACTCCCGAGTCTCCTAAGGTAGGTATCATAAGGAGGTCATCTTTGAGCTGTATCCAAGGGCAAGCAGGAGTTTGCCAGGCAGAGTACAGAAGGTAGGGCAATCCAGGTGTCCTAAAGCCTAGGATGCAAATGATTCCATGGGATTGGAAACTGGTGGGAAATGGGGTGATCTTGCAGAGTGAGTGAGATCTTGTATCCCATGCTAGGGGTTTTTACCACACAAGTAAGCTTTGAGGAGCTATTAAATGACTTATGTAGCAGTGTGGCGTGATCCACTTTATATGTTAGAAATTTGTACCTGGAAATATAGTGATCACAGGACGTTCTTGGGGTAAATGTACAAACCCAGGGAGGACCAACCTGCCATCAGGCAGGAAAAACGTCAGCATTAGCACATTATCTTCTGTTGATATTGTCTAACAGATCACATATGAAACTAAAAGAGAACTGCAGTCTTCTGAGCTCTAGGTATTAGATCATCAACTCATAACACTGTAGAGCTGGAAGTTCTCTTAAATTTTACCTGGTACTAAACTCTCATTTTTAGAGGTAAGGACACCTGTAAGCAACTTGCTAAAGGTCACACAGGTGATGCTGACCCACTTTTACTGGGAATACACTCACAAAGTTTTATTTTATAGTATAGCTTTATTTTGTAGATCTCTACATTGAAACATAAAGTTTTCCTATGAATTTCAAAATCGTTGGTTGACAGAGTTAATGACATTTACTCCTTAATGATGACAAGCAAAATTCTGAAATAGCATTTAAAGGATCGGAGGATCCAAATAGTCAGGATAATGGAAAGTAACTTTTATTTTTAAAACACACACACACACACACACACACACACACATCCTTAAACTTCAAAGTAAATGCATATGATCTGACTTAGAATAAATCCTACTTTTCAAACTTGCTCAGCTATTAGTGTTCCTTAAGTCAATCTTATATTTGACAAACCATGGCACAGTGTCATTTGGAAATGAAGCTGCTTGTACTTAACCACACAGGTGTCTACCAGTCTTTCCCTTCTCTAACCCACCTCTATATTAAAGCATTTTCTGGAACATATATAACAGATTTTAGCCAGTGGAGTTAAAAAAATCTGCTTCCAAGCCTCTAATCACTCATCTTCCTGTCTTTTTATTCTTCTGCTTAAACTATATGCTAAAAAAGAACTGACTCCCAATTGCTTGCAACCCCCCACTAATCAGTGTTTCTAAGTGACTCAATCTAACATGATTAATCAAACTCCCTGCAACAACCCCCTAGTTCCACATAGCACGAGTAGCTTATACTAGTAGGTTTAATTGAAGTGTCACTAGCAAGCTGTCAAAAGAGCAAATATCAACATAGCCAATGTTTTCTCCCTTGAACACATAATTTCTCTGTATCAATGACTTGCTGAAGGGAGGGAGGTGTCTGTTCTCTTGGCTCTCTCTGGCTGTGTAAATTAACAAGAAAAGCCTGTGCCATGGTCACTAATGAACCGTGAACCACTTTAATCCCATCTGCCCGGAGGTCATGGCAGATCATACATAAGCACCACCACATAGCAGAGCAAGCTCTTGGCCAAGGCTTGAAAGCCTTGTTGAAAGAGCCTCAGCCTCCAGCCACTGGAGTGCGAATGTGAGCCAGGATGGGGTGCCGTTCCATCGTTCTGATCTCCAGTGCACTCTACATAGCGTCTTCAGCCAAAGTTGGGCTCCCAGGAACACAGCAAAAGACAGAGAAGAGGAGATATCCTTCCCTGTTCGACTTCTCTGGAGTCTCCTCACCTTGCAAGTCAAAGGTCGCCTCCTCCATGAAGTCTTCTTTGATTGACCCACTTTGAATCATATCTCCTAGGACCTTGTAATCATTCTACCCTCTCCCTCTGGCACAGTCACTGGTTCCAGGGGTAGCTGCATCACCTGAGCTGAGCCAATCAGTCTTCTACTGGACTTTGTATGCAGACGCCACCTTCTTCTAGAACTTCCTTTCTCCTAGAATGGCTACACAGGTTGATAAAAGCCTGTGGCAATGCTTTCTAGTTCACACTTTTCCCTTCCTAACTGCTTCCATCTCACAGCACACACACATACCCTCCAAAATCAACCTTGTAAAGGAGACTCAACTCCAAGGCAGAATGAAGCCAACACAGAGAGGAAGAGTTGGGAGTCGTTGGTGCAGGGGAGAGGGAGACAGAGAGAGAGAGAACGGCCCCACCTAAGGCACTCTGCCTTAAAGACACCCAGCTGAGGAGTGGGTGGGAGCCAAAATCCAGCCTGCATTCTGCTCGCCCTGGCAAGGAGCGACCTTCAGAGGAAGGGATCTCACCCCCACCCCCTGCCTTTTTTTTTTTCAAACAAAGGCTCTGTCTGCTCACCGAGCCTTCTGCTGCTGCACACAAAGGTGTTGCCTGTGCTAGAAATGTGTTACAAGATCAGCAGGACCTCCAGAGTCACCTCTCCAATCACAGCCACCACCACTTCCTTTTTCACCTACACCCGGCTTCAGTTGGGTTTTTTGTCATTTGTAATCAAAACAATTCTGACCAGTAGAGCAGACCAGATACCTGGGTTGCTTCAGATAAAACACCACGTTTGTTTTAGCCTTAAACTTCTATTAGCCATTGTCTTTGAACTCTTCCTTTCAACCTCCAAGTCCTTATGCTTCCCCAGGCAGGCACAGAATAACTAATATCCCTCCTTTTCTTTCCTAGAGACTGACATAGCATGTATGCAGAGATAATATACCAAGAAATCAAGTTCAACCGAATAATGTAGTTGCTGCTTTCTTCATGAAAATGATGAGTTATGGTTTCTTTCTCAACATTTCTGGTAACCCCTCAGCAGCAGAGTATGGTGGCCAAACACTGGCTGCCCTTGCCTGCTGTGAAAAAGGGTCATAACTCATTTTCCCTCGCAAACCCTAGTGTGTTTTGCTGTGTTTTGTTTGTAAACGACAGGTCACTCACCCTCTGTGGTGTTTGTCCAGCTCGCGGAGCACCGTGTGGTCACAGTATTCAAACACCAGGTGAAGCTTCCGCTTCCTCCTGAAGACTTCGATAAGGTTGACGAGGTTGGGATGCTTGAGTTGCTGAAAACACAAAAAGCAAGGTGCTAAAGTGGAAGCGTGAGAGAGTTTTCTCTAATTTTGGCCCAACAGAAGAAAGCTATTTGTCCTTTAGAAAAATTCTTGTCTTGGATTGACGGAGGCTGTCGATAGCACTGTCTTTCTTCACTTGATGAGCTGTTCCTTAGCAGCCTGTAAGTGAAAAATGATCATGATCCTGGTGGTTAGTGAAGGTAAAGAGAGATATGAGGAGGCTGGGAAAAAAGAATGAAAATGTCCCCTCCTACAGAGATCTCCCTAGACTGGTTCAGTGTCCCTCGTGGCCCCCCCTGAAGTATGAATCCTTTGGAATCCTTCAAACCTACTAAGTAATTGTTCAATTGATTGTTTAATGTCCTCTGCTGCCAACAGATATAATGGATACATTCTATAGAATATAAGAACCATGACAAACATCAGGGTCTGTGTTCTCTTGTTTACGCAGAATGATGTTGTATTCCCAGCATGGGGCCTTGCACATAATAGGCGTTCGATCATTATTTGTGAATGAATGAGTAAATCAGGTTTCCTAGGCTGATGAAACCTTTTAAAAGAGAAAAATGAGGAAGACTCTCCAATCTGATATGCCTGAAGGAGTGTATCTAGAAAACACAGGCAGGAATGAATGTCGGTGTTGACAGAGATAAATCTTGTACTTAGCTTTCTGGCCCCTCCTGTCCATGATCCTACTGGAAACACTACAACTAAGCAAACTACTGTGAAGAGAGCAAAAATGGTTAACTTTCTTTAGGGCTTGAAGGCCTCCGGGCAGTGACCTAAGAGAGCAAGAGAGGAAGCCGAAAGGCTTCTTAAGGCCTAGTCTCAGGAATCAGGTGATATAACTTCTGCCTCATTCTAGTGGTCAAAGCAATCATGAGATCCCCCCCAGATCCAGCCCAGGATGAAATACCACGAGCAGAGCAGGGCGCAGGTGTTCCAGCTGCACTCAGCCCCTGCCAGCCCTCATCTAATTCGGCTACGTGGGCGAGCCCACGCAAGACCCCCGAAGGAGCACTCAGCCAAAGCACAACTGTGAGAAGTAAGAAATCATTCTTTTTTAAGCTACTAAGTTTTGTTTTGTTTTTTTTTTTCAGTACGCGGGCCTCTCTCTGTTGTGGCCTCTCCCATTGCGGAGCACAGGCTCCGGACGCGCAGGCTCAGCGGCCATGGCTCACGGGCCCAGCCGCTCCGCGTCATGTGGGATCCTCACTGACCGGGGCACGAACCCGCGTCCCCTGCATCGGCAGGCGGACTCTCAAGTACTGCGCCACCAGGGAAGCCCTAAGCTACCAAGTTTTGAGGAGGTTTGTTAATGCAGCACTAGATAATAACCCTGTAGGAGAATCACCAGGGGGACTTTTGAAAACTGCAGATGCCCCGGCACCACGTCCAGAGATCCTGAATTGGTCTTGGACAGGGGCCCAGCCATCTGGTTTTTCCCCCCAAATTCTCCAGGTGATTTGATATGTAGACAGAGGTATTAATCATAGGTAGACAGATATTTCAAAAATGATAAAAGACAGAAGGAGAAAAACTGAAGTTCTTGAAATGCACACTCTAGCACATTTGTATAGATAGTGAGAAGAGAAACAGTCAGCAAGAGAAATACTAAAAAAGACAATTATTTTCTCATTTTCTTTGTAAAACCCCTCTATCTTCCAGATGTGAAATTCCTGCTCCAGCGATTACACTTGATGAAACAAATATAAAACAGTCAAGACACTCTAAAGCCCATTAGCCACATTTGGGCCTTAGAACAGAAGGCACTCCAAGCTCTAAAGCCCCAGATTTATGTTCCCATAGCTGGAAACTTTTAGCCTGAACTAACGCTTTCCAGATATAGGAGGACAGAACTGACTGCTGTTTTAAACCAAAGAATTGCATTGGCTCAGATGTCTCAAACAGAAAGCAAACGACCAAGTGTAAAGGGGGTAAATAGCAGCTTTATGACAATTAGCGGAAAGCAGAGATTTTCTTACAGCCTCTGAAAAATAACTGTCCGAAGGCCCAGACCTCAAATCTTAGATTCTTTTCATTTTCCATGTTCCATATGTAGTCCTCACATCTTCGGCCAACTTTTTTTAGCAAAAGTACAAATGTATCAATTCCACCGAAACAAATACCTGGACCTTCTCAGATGCCAAGACTGGCACCTCCAACTTGTCCCATCCATACCTGCAGTGATCACCAGGGGCACTGCTGCCTCAGGATAAAACCCAAATATCCTCTCAGTTTGACCTCTGCTTACTTCTGCAGCCCCATCTCTTAAACCCTAGACACACTGAATTTCTCTCACTTCTTCAAAGGCTCACACTCCCTCTCGCTTCAGGACCTGTTCACCCAGTTCTCTCCCTGAAACACTCGCACCCTCCAGATGTCCGTTTCTACGTCTGGCCCGCCTCTGCCCCACCTGACACCCTGGTATGAACTAAAAGAGCTATAACTCTGCAACCCAAGCATGGGGACCATGTAGCAGGTAAAAAGCATTGTCACAGCAGGATCCATTGAACCGGGTGGGACTGTAAATATTATATTACACCCATCTTCCTGTTACTGAACACCTTTTGAAAACCTAGATTCTAATAATTGCTGCATATTCTATTCAAATAACATAGAGATTCTCTCCAATTTTTGTGTATTGTAAATAAGGTTTTGATGAACAAGCTACTAACCAGCTGACCTTAACTTTGAATAATTTCATTTAATGTCTCTAGGCCTCAGTTTTCCATCTGTGAGAGCAGGAAGCTCAAGGGCTGCTGTGACAGCTTCATAACACAAAACACATGAAACAGTGTCAGGCCACATTGTTCTCTCCAGGAAGCTTAACTGTTAATATTATTATTGGGGGTTCAATCTATTTCTATTTAGGCTGACTTTCTCAATTCATTTTATTCAACAAGTATTCATCTATCTTAATGTGCTTAAGGCACTCTGCTAGTCCTAAGGATATAGAGACACAGCAAGTACTTGACCATACTCTCAAGGAGCTTAGAACCTAGGAGAGGAGACAGATGTGGAACAAGTAATTACAGACGTGATAAGTGTTACAAAAAGCCCCCAGGAAAGGGTACCTGGCTCGAGAGTAGTGAGTGGCCCAGGGAAGATCTCTTTGGGGAAGGTGGCCATTTAAGAAGTTAGTTGGGCGCCATTTAGAGTCCCAGGAGTACAACATAAAGCTCTAAACAGATATGGCTGAACTGCTTTCCAAAAGGATCAAACATACTTACACCTCTGCCAGGAGTGTGAGAGTACTTTTCATCATACCACTGAGGCGCATATAGACATTTAAGGCTTGTGACGTTTATCGTCAAATGCGAGGGCTTCCAATGCTTCTGGCAACATAGGAAGATGTCATGTGACACTTAAACCACTTGTCTCTCCTATCCCCTGCCATGAGACAACTTTTATGTAGCTGCAAATAGCCAATAACTTATTTCTCAACTGATTTCCAGAAAATTCTTCATTTAGAAAAATCAATTGCTAAGACTAAATTCTAATTAGGACTTACAAACGTTAAATTATAAATATTTTAAAATAAATTATTAACTCTCTGTAGGTAGCCAGGATTCTGGGTGACCTGAAAACATTCCAGAGCAGCAGGTATCTGGGAGCCAGTCCCTGTCTTGGCTGTGTTCTTTGGTATATTATAACAAAGATCTGAGAGTGTCTGCTCAGCCTCTGGCACTATTCAAGGCACTAGGGACACACTGGTGAATGGGACGGAGGACTCGGGCATTAAGCAAAGAAGTGCCATGAAGAGCCCTCCATATATAAAAGACTAGGCTGCTTTAGAGAAACTGTCCTTAGGAAGTGACTTTGAACTGAGTCCTGGAGGGTGAGAAAGGTCTGACCAGACCAAGGGAAGGGGTGGTGGTACAGAGATGGTGGCTTTCCAGGCAGAGGACTGGCTCTGAGCCAGGAGGGAACTTAACGCCACTTAAGGAACTGCAGGATGGTGTGGTTTGAGTGTCAAGCACATGGAACTGATGCCAGGGAGACAGGCAGAAGGCAGGTCCTGTGGGCCCTTGCAGGACATACTAAGAAATTTACATTTCATCCTAAGTGCAATGGGAAGCTACCGGAAGGAATTTTAGCAAGATGGGGTAATTTACCATTTGGATTTTTAAAAGCTCTCTATGGTGGCAGGATACAGAATGGCTCAGAGGAGGCAATATGGTGAGAGGAGACCAGTGAAGAGCCTGTTGATAGCTGAGAGCTTGGACCAGCGCTGAGGCAGGGGAGATGGCAAGAAAGGCACTGTTTGGAGATAGATTTTATTATTAGAATAGTCCGGATGTGGTGATGGACTGGAGGTGAGGGATGCAGGAGAGGGTATCAAGAATGACCAAAGGTTTGTATAATGGGGGTAGACGGTGGTGCCATGACTGAGAGGAGGAGCAGGTTTTGGGGGGAAGGAACTACTGTTCTGGCACGTTGGGTTGACAGGGACTCTGAGGTACCAATACAGTCGTCAGGTCGGCTGGAGTTTGAATTGAAGATAAAAGCCGGGGAGTCAGCATGAGTGTAAGCAAAGCCATGGCTAGAAGTGATTGCCCAGAAGAGTGAGAAGGAAGAGGCCAAGGAACCCCAGCACCCAGGTATGTGGTAGATGGGGAGGAAGCAGAGGAGGGGAAAGGGAAGAAGGTCCCCCAAGATAAGAGAGAAGACAGCAGAACGTGACACTACAGAGATATCGTGGAAGGAGGAAGTGGTCCACGGTGATGCTGCTGCTGAAGAGTCAAGTGGGAGGAAGCCTGAGAGGCGCCGCGGGGGCGTCCTAAAGGGGTTCGTGTGACCTCACCAGAAGCAGCGTCAGTGCAGTGGTGAGATCAGGAGCCAGATGTGGCAGATTTAGCATCCCCAAACCGTACTCTTCTCTGTTGACTCCCCTGACCTCAGGGGCAGAGCTCAGAGGGACACCTCTGGTCCTGAATCCAGTCTGCAACTGGTAGCCTGAAGGTCTTGATCAAGGCTCCGAAATTGTG